TATTTTGTGAGCAAAAAAAAAAAAAAAAAAAAAAAAGAAAGAAAGAAAGAGAAAAAAAGAAAAGGAAAGAAAGAGAAGAAATGTCTATTTGTAGTCCTTTACCCATTTTTTAATTGTTGTTGACTTTTTTTAATCATAAATCCCTTACTGGGATTACAGGTGCCTGCCACAATGCCTGGCTATTAATTGTTGTTGACTTGTAATAGTTCCTTATATATTCTGGAAATTAATCTGAAATTAATTATCAGGTATATCATTTGCAGATATTTTTCCCATTCCACGGGTTTCCTCTTCCCTTTGTCGACTGCATCCTTTAACGTACAAATGTTTCTAATTTTCACAAAGCCCAGCTTATCTACTTTTTCTTTTGTTGCCTGTGCTTTTGGTGTCATAGTCAAGAAATCATTGCCAAATTCAATGTGATGAAGCCTTTACCCTATGTTTTCTTCTATGAGTTTTATGGTTTAGTGCTTACATTTAAGTGTGTGATCTATCTTGTGTTAATTTTTGTACACGGTGTCAGGTGAAGAGTCAACTCGTCCTTTTGCATGACCATTCAGTTTCCCAGTATCATTTGTTGAAAAGACTATCCTTTCCCCCATCGAATAGTCTTGACACCCTTGTCAAAAATATTCAGCGGTATGTACACACTGAAATAGACATTTTTTCAAGAAAGATATACAAATGGCCAAAAGGCACAGGAAAAGATGCTTAATGCCACTAATACTTAAGGATATGCAAATCAAAACCACAATGGTGTATGACCTCAATGGTGTGACCACTACTTATTTCTGGGCTCTCTGTTTATTGCACTGGTTTCTGTGTCTAGACCACATGGTATTGATTTGGCATGGTAGTAAATTTGGAAACCAGGGCATGAGTCCACCAGCCTTTTTCTCCTTTTTCAAGATTGTTTTGGCTATTTAGAATCCCCAAGATTCCACATGAATTTTAGTATACATTTTTTATTTCTTCAAGAAATATCTCTGAGATTCTAGTAGGGTTCACATTGATTTTACAGATCAATTTAGATGGTGTTGTCATCTAACAAGTCTTTCAACTTTCTTGTTTTGAGACAGAGTCTCAAGCTGTGGCCCTGGGTAGAGTGCTGTGCTGTCACAGCTCACAACAACCTCCAACTCTTGGGCTTAAGCAATTCTCTTGCCTCAGCCTCCCAAGTAGCTGGGACTACAGGCACCACCCCAAGCCCAGCTATTTTTGTTGCAGTTGTCATAGTTGTTTAGCTGGCCCAGGGTGGTTTCAAACCCGCCAGCCTTGATGTATGTGACTGGCGCCATAACCACTGTGCTACTGGCACCAAGCCATGAGTGTTTTTATTATGAAAGAATGTTGAGTTTTGTCAAATGCTCTTATTGATTTAATCTCCTTACTAGTTATAAGCCTACGCAAATTTTCATGATTCCATCCTGGTAGCGTTTGTATGGAATGCCTAGGAATTTGCCCATTTCATCTAGTTATCCAATTTGTTGGCAAAAAAATATTACTAGTACTCTAATAATCCTTATTATTTATGTAGAATTGATAATATGTCTCCCCTTTCATTTCTTATTTTAGTAATTTGAATCTTCTCTCTTTTTTGTTTTTAGTCAATCTAGTTAAAGATTTTCAATTTTGTTCATCCTTTTGAAGAACCAAGTGTTGTTTTCGTTGATTGCCTCTATTGTTTTTCTCTTTTATTTATTTCTAGTCTAATCTTTGTTGTTTCCTTCATCTACTATCTTTGAGTTTAATTTGTTCTTTTTCTATATCCTTAAGTTCTAAGTTAGGCTGTCAATTGGAGATCTTTCTTTTTTTAATTTCCTGGTAGTAATAAATTTATTTCTTTTCTAATTTTTTAAAATTTCATGTTATCGTGGGGGTACATATAATTTGGTTATATAGTTTGCTTTTTTAAGGTTAAAGTCCAAGTGGTGGTTGTGTCCTTCACCCAGGAATTGTGCGGTATACCTGTGCAATGTACCCGTTAAGTGAGAATTTACCCATCGCTTACCCTCCTCAACTTGACCTTTATTGTGTTATTTTCCCATGTGAACATTAAGGTGCTGATCCAATTTAGAAGTCAGTACATGGTATGTTTTTTTTTCTATTCTTGTGACACTTTACTTAAGCTATAAGGTCTCCATCTTTTTCATGAGTGAGTAATATTCTATAGTATACCCATACCACAATTTATTAATCCAGTCACATATTGAAGGCCATTTGGGTTGTTTCCATGACTTGTTCATTGTGAATTGTGCTGCTATAAGCACTCAAGCACAGGGGTCTTTATGATAAAATGTCTTTTTTTCCTTTGGGTGAGTACCCAGTTGTGGGATTGCAGGATCAAATGGTAGGTCTATGGTTAGCTCTCTAAGGACTTGCTGTACTCCTTAGCGTTGTACTAGTTTATAGACCCATCCGTGCCAGCATCTGACTTTGGAACCTTATAGTCTGAGCCATTCTTACTGGGGTTAAATAATATCTCAATGTGGTTTTCATTTGCCTTTCTCAGATGATGGAATATGATGAGAATTTTTTTTTATCTGTCTGTTGGCCATTAGTCTATTATCACTGGAAAAGTTTCTATTCATGTCTCTTATCCAGTTTTTAATGGAATTGTTTGATCTTTTCCTATAGATTTGCTTTAGTTCTTTGTAGATTCTGATTATCAGCCCTTTGTCAGATGTGCAGCATACAAATATCTTCTCCCGTTCTGTAGGTTGTCTTTTTGCTTTGTTGATTGTGTCCTTAGCTGTGCAGAAACTTTTTAGCTTGATCAAATCCCATTTATTTATTTCATTATTGCTGCAATTTCCGATGGGATCTTCTTCATAAATTCTTTCCCTAGATTCATACCATTAAGTAGTGAGTAGTGAGAGGTGTGGGTCTAGTTTCAGTCTTTTACATATGGCTGTTCAGTTCTTCCAACACCACTTTTTTTTTCTTGTGACAGAATCTCACTATGTCACCCTTGGTAAAGTGCTGTGGCATGACAGCTCACAGCAACCTTAAACTCTTGGACTTAAGTGATTCTCTTACCTGAGCCTCCCAAGTAGCTGGGACAGCAGGTGCCTGCCACAATGCCCAGCTATTTTTTGGTTCTAGTTCTCATTCTTGTTTGGCAGGCCTGAGCTGGGTTTGAACCCACCAGCTCCTGTGCATGTGGCTGGCACCCTCGCATCTGAGCTACAGGCACTGAACTCCAGCACGATTCATTGAATAGGAATTCTTTCCCCCAGCTTTGCACTCTTTCTCATTTCTGAATATGGTCATTTAAGGCAATGCATTTCCCTCTTGGGAATGCTTTTGCCATATCCTACACCTTTTGATAGTTTGTGGCCCCATTGTCATTTTGTTCAAGAATTCTATTGATTTCCATCTTTATCTCCTCCTTGATCCAGCTATCATTCAGCAATAAGTTGTTTAGTTTCCATGACTTTGTGTGGGGATGAGTGTTTCTATTGCAATTGAGTTCTAATTTCATTCCATTGCAGTCTCTAAAGATACATGGTGTAATTTTTTAAATTTGTTTAAGCTTTATTTGTGACTGAAGATATTATCACTTTTAGAGAATGATCTGTTAGCTGATAAGAAGAAAGTATATTCAGTATTATTGGGGTGAAATGCTCTGTAAATGTACCTGTTAAGTACATTTGTTCTAGAATCATGTTTAATTCTTTGTTTGTTTTTTTTTTGAGACGGAGTCTAAAGTCTAAAGTCTAAAGTCTAAAGACGGAGTCCCCCCTGGGTAGAGTGCCATGGCATCACGCTCACAGCAACCTCCAACTCCTGGGCTCAAGCGAGTCTCCTGCCTCAGCCTCCCAAGTAGCTGGGACTACAGGCGCCCCCCACAACGCCTGGCCATTTTTTGGTTGCAGCCGTCATTGTTGTTTGGTGGGCCCGGGCTGGGGATTCGAACCCACCACCTTAGGTATATGTGGCTGGCGCCTTAGCCACTTGAGCCACAGGCACCGAGCCATCATGTTTAATTCTAAAATTTCTTTCTTTAATTTTTGCTTAGAGGATCTGTTCTGTTCTATCAATAGGATATTGAAGTCCTAAGGATGTTTTATTTATAATTTTGTTTAGATCAAGTAGAATTTGCTTTATAAATCTGAGAGAACCTAAGTTGGGTGCATACATATTTAGGATTGTTATGTCTTCTTTTTTTGGTTTGTTTGGTTTTTTTCTTTGAGACAGAGTCTCACTCTGTCACCCTGGCTAGAATGTTGTGGCATCACAGCTCTCAGCAACCTTCAACTCTTGGACTTAAGTGATTCTCTTGCCTCAGCCTCCCTAGTAGCTGGGACTACAGGTACCCACAACAACGCCTGGCTATTTTGGGGGGCGGGGGGGTTGTAGCTGTCATCATTGTTGTTTGGCAGACCCAAACTGGGTTCAAACCCACCAGCTCTGGTGTATGTGGTTGGTGCCCTAGCAACTTGAGCTACAGGTGCCAAGCCTGTTATGTCTTCTTCTTGAATTGTGCCCTTGACTAGTATATAATGTGTATCTTCGTCTTTACTTTTGTCACGTTAAAGTCTATGGTGTCTATAATGAGAATCACAATTCCTATCTTGTGGTTTTGATTTGCAGGAATTATTGTTTTCCAGCCCTTCACCCTGAGTCTTGATGTGCCCTTGGGGTGTTAGATATGTTTCCGGAAGACGACAGGTGCTAGGCTTGTATTTTTTAAATACAATCAGCCTATGTCTCTTTGGAGGGGAGTTCAAGCCGTTCACATTTATTGAGAAAAGAGATAAGTAGGGCGGATTTCTGTTCATTCTCTTATGGGGACTCTGTTACTTTGTATATTCCTGTAGGCCACTGTGGTAGCTAGACATAGTTCTTTAGTTTCCAGGTAGTTTTACTTTGGTAGGACTCCATCACCTTAGTCTGTGTGTAGTACAGGTCTGAGTACTTCCTAAAGGGGTAGTCTAGTAATGGTAAATTTTCTCAAAGTTTGCTTGTCAGGAAAATATTTGGTTTCTCTGTCAAATATGAAACTTAGTTTTGCAGTATATAGAGTCCTGGGCTGGCAGTTGTTATGTTTGAGAAGACTGATGATAGGAGCCCACTCTTTCCTGGCTTATAATGTTTCCACTGAGAAATCAGCTGATAACCTGATGGGTTGACCCTTGGAGGATAAGTGGTGCTTAATGACTGGCTGCTTGTAGAATTTTCTCTTTCATTTTCTCCTAGACAAGTGTCTAGGAGATACTCTTATCCTGGGATATAATATCCACCTAGTAGCTATATCTCTGAGTCACTGGCAATGCTGGGGAAATTTTCAACTATAGCGTCCATGCTTTGGGGACTCTCTTCTTCAAGGATACCTATAATTCATTTGTGTGTATGCTTTGCATGGTTCCACATGTCTCTAAGGGATTGTTCTGCATTTGCTCCCTTCTTTTCTGGCTCTTTAAATGACTGGGTTACCTTAAGAGCCTTGCCTTCAAACTCTGAGATTCTTTCTTTCCCCGGGGTTTAATATGTTGCTGATGCTGTGTTTTGAAACTCCTTGAATGCCTCTTTCAAAGCATTAAGCTCTGTTATATTTTTCCTAATTTTGTCCAGATCCTTGATGACATTATCTTTAATTTCATTAATATCTTGGGTCAATTTTTTGACTTCTTGTTGCTGGTTTTCAACACTATCATCAATTCCAGTCATCTCATTTGCCATCCATTTCCTAGATTCTATTTCTGTTATTTCACCAATTTCTTTCTTTCTTTTTTTTTTTGGCCAGGGCTGGGTTTGAACCTGCCACCTCCTGCATATGTGACTAGCGCCCTACTCCTTTGAGCCACAGGCACCACCTACCAATTTCTTTATGGGTAAAATTTTCTGCTGTAATTCCATTGTGATCCCTTGGAGGAGTTGATCTATTCTGGTTATTCATATAGCCAGAGTTCCTTTAAGGCTTTCTCCTGTGTGATATCTTCTTTTTTTTTTCCCTTCCCTTGTATCTTCTTTAACTCTAGGCTATAGGGTTAAGATGACCTTGTGACCTTGCCAGAGGATCATGCCCAACCTCTGCATCTGCAGATTCTGGCCCCAGGGAAGGGCATAACTGCCAGGAACCTTTCCTCACTCCTGGGCACTCTTTGCCCCTGCTGTCTCTCCTTCCATTGGTGCTTCCTTTCTCTTTGGGCTCCTGTTGCTCAGTGAACAGCTGACGCTACCAGTTGCTCGTACCCAGGCTAACCCAACGCCAGGCCCACAAGTCCATGAAATTAAAAACCAGACTACTGCAGATGGAGTGCTGTCAAGTAACACTTACACATTTCTAGCCTCAGATTCCTCAAACAAAAATTGCAATAACAAGATCTGCTTTAGTATTGTCTTAAAAAATTATGGTAGTAATCAATTAGACCTTCAGCAAAATGCCACACACAGAGGAAATGTTCCATAAATGTTAGCTCCTATTATCACCACTATTAGCATTAGCCTTGAGGTCAAGAAGTCCTAGAGTCAAATTTAAGATTCACCTCTCACCAGCCACGTGACTTTGAGTAAGTTTTCTCACCATTCAAAGCCTACATTTTCTTATTTGTAAAATGGAAATAATACATCTCTGACAGAGTTACTGTATAGATCAAAGAAGATACATGTCCAGTGCTTGGCACAGGGCTTTGCACATAGGAAGTACCATATAACACTGGCTAACTAATTGTCAGGCTTGAGTTAATTGGTGAAGGATAAGCCCCAGATGTAACACAAATAAAGAAGAAACAGATGTAAAAGGTATTTTGTATAGATATAGATATTCACACACACACATATGGGAGGAGGCATAACCTCCCATTAGGACATGGTTACTGATAAAATAGGGAAAAGATGGGGGGAGCTAAGTGCAGTGTCAAGCCTGTTACATTTGTTTTCCTCCATTGAGATACAGCCACAATGGGATGACCCATGCACGATTATTTACTGGGAAAAATATCTGCAAAGGAGAGCAAGGCAGGAGTAAGAGGAGCTTGGAAGAGCCCTCAGACCACATGGCAGATCTGAAGCCTGTGAAGGAGAAAGAGAAGACAGTGTCAGGTTGTGGTGTGGTTCTAAGGGAGTTTCTGCAAGGCTGATGTGGAGTCCTTGAGACAGTCACCAAGCACAGAAAAATAGGGTCTGGTGGAATTGGGTCTTCACACTTCTGCTGGAAGCCCGTGGGAAGCAAGGACTCTGCTGCACAAAGGAGGTGGTAAATTCAGAGTACATCAACCTGGGCCTTCTGTCAACTAAGTCTCTGCCATACAGACCTGAGAGCCTTACATTCGTGGTTCCGAGACACTGAGAAAATGCAACCACAGAGAGGTAGAAAGTTATAATAACATACAAAAATTCCAGTGAGCCTTTCTCACATTTCAAAACCTTTGAAAATACCTGAATGTAGTAAGCCTAGGGTGGAATTGTCCAAAGACTGATCACCAACCTAGGAATACAGTGATAGGGGAAAAATATTTTAAGGATGTAGTTGGCTAATCACCTCCCAGCAGCTTTTCCCCACACACAACCAAAGTATTCCTTGAAGGAACAAGTAGAGAGTACTTCATGTAGAGAGCTATTTCCCAGAGGACCTCCACCTGTGAAATAATCTCACCTTCATTCCTTCTCTTCTCTTCCCATGCAGATCCTTCAGATCCTCCAGTGCCAGGAAGTTCTCCTGGCCTCTCAGCGGCAGCCACTGTTGGCATCGTGATTGGAGTACTGGCCAGGGTGGCTCTGATATAGCAACCTTGCTGCATTTTCTGTATTTCTGGAAGATTGGCAGGTATGATGCCTTTCCTTATTAGGTTTCCTCCAAGGCTAACTGCCATGCTTGGGAGAGGGAAAGACGTTCTACACCTGTCTCTGCGCCTGGATCTCCTCCTCCTGCTAAACTCTTGCTTCTCGGCACTAATTCCTGCCAGTCTCTTCTTCCCTGGTGTCCGTGCTCCCTGCACCCCACTGTCTCCTGGACATGGCTGTTCCAATCCCCATATAGTCTAGAGGAACAGACCCAATTATGTTCCTATGGTCCCCACTCAGGGAAGCCAAGGTCCAAGAAGAAAATAAATGAGAAAAAGAAAGAAGCAGCAGGAGAAAGCAAGACCTGTGCTCCACTGACCACAGTGGCAGGGGGAGGAGGAACAGGACAGGAGGAGAACCTAAGGAAAAGACAAACTACCAAATCCCTTCAGACAATAGAAAGAGTCAAACAAATGAAAACCAGAATCTACCCCTGGAAAACAAATTAGGAAAACTCTTAGAGTAGAAGAAGGCACAGAATCTGTCCACAAAGTATGGAGCTAAACATGAAAATCCAGCAAACAGGAAAAGAGTAAACACCAGAAGAGATGATGGTTAGACGGATGGGTTCCTAACAGGAAAGGCAATACCAACATGGTATGAATGAACATGGAGAAATTGACTACTCACAGTGTCCTCCATAACTCAGGGAGCAAGGATCCTGTGCTTGGGAATAGCAGTGGCAGTGTCTGACATTTATTTAGGGCAAGCGACCAGCATGATCTCACAGAGCACAAATCCTCAGCCTCCAACCACAGTGGGTAAAACCACTCACTCAGTGAGAACTGATCTGTTCCACCGTGTGTCCTGCTCTGGCAGGGAATCCTAGGTGCCCAAACAGCTCTCTTCCTTCTCAAAAAGATTTTTAAACAGAGTCTAGGTCTATCACCCAGGCTATAAGGCAGTGGCATCATCATAGCTCACAGCAACCTCAAACTCCTGGGCTCAAGCAGTCCTCCTGCCTCAGATTCCCAAATAGCTGGGACTTCAGGTATGTGCCACCATGTCCGGCCTCCTGCATTTTTACAGAGAGCATCTCCATTTTCCATTGTTAAGTTGGGACAGGTACTCACAACTTCTTAGCCACAGGAGTCCCCTGAGGCACAGCCCCACCAGAGAGGCTCCCTCCACCTAGGCCAGGCAGGTCTGAATAAGATCCCATGTTCCCAGATGTTCCCAGAAGCCATTGCCTGGTCCTTACTCCTTCCCCCTCCTGCTTCTATTATGGATGTGGGCATTCTCCCATGGTGAGACTTTCCTTGTCTTTTGGGTGCTCTGGGTGTTGTGTGCCTCAATGCCCCTCCTTGCCACTGGAGTGTGTTGTTGAGAAACATATCTGGGCAAAAGTCAAGTCCTCATGAACTGGTAGAAACCTTCAAAGTGGATAGTGGCCTCCTGTGGTTTGATCCCTGCCTTCCTCTGATGCTACTGTGCTGGGCCTAGAGCACAGACTCAGATGGAAGTGAATTCCTTAACTGACAATGGGCTACCTTCCCATGCCCAACCACTACCACTGCCCCCACCTGCCACCTCCTTCAGCTAGAAATCACCAGGGCTTACGTCAGTGCATTTCCATGGACTGGTAACTCATTTTTTGCTCCCCCAGGTGAGGACAACTCTGACAACTTTCCTGACAATGTAAGCACAACCATTTTCTCATGGAAATGACTCTGTACAGAATTGGTTACTCTTGAAGACACAACTGTGAGATCAAATTTGGGCTAAAATTTTTAGTGCAGCAACTCACAGTAATCACTCCCAGGAGTACCTCACAGCAGCACTTTGGAATTATCTCCAAAGAGATAATTATCCCTGTGCAGAACACTGACTGTGGCTCTTAGTAGCTCTGTGACTCTGCGCAAATAACTTAACCTCTTTGACCCTCAGCTTTGCCATCTGTAAAATGGACATTTTGCCTACTTCAACGACAAGGTGAAGGGAATAAGGAATTTAACATGTGTAGAGCACTCAGCACCACGGCCAGAAGGAGGACACTAAATCCTTCTCCCTCCTCTACCTTCAACCTGACCCTGTCCTTACTGTCAAAAGGATAATTTCCATTCTAATGGATCTGAGATCCTGCCTCCTTTATTTTATAACAATTTTTCTCATTTTAACCTTTCAATAGACTACACATGTATACTGAAAAGAGCTAAATCATAATTACATTTCTCAGGGTATGATCTTTCACAAGTTAAACACACCCATGTAAGCAGCAAATCCAGAAACCACCATCCTGACGTCCAGTGCTCCAGATGAGTTTTGCCTGGTTTTGCTCTTCCATACATGAGAAATACGGCACATCCTTATTTGTGACTTCTCTCATTCAGTGTTCTTTTGTGAGTTTCATATTGTTTATCCATATTGTTATATGGATTTATGGATTTATTATCATATTCTGTTGCACAAATGCCACTTTAATGTGTCTCTTCTAATGATCATTCATCAGAGTGTCAGCAAGCAGAGGATGGGTAGCAAGAGCCCTTCTCCAAATCTCAGACTTTCAAAGTGGTGACAGGCCCTGGTGCTGAATCTCACTGAGCAAAGGTGAGGCCCTGAGTCATGACACTGACTTAACTGATCACTATTTGTGCTTTTCAGGCGGATGAAATTGCCTAGTCTTCTTTGAACTTCAAAGCCCAGAAACCAACACAACCAACTTCAGCCTCCCCATCCCCAGTGACCACAGAGACAATTTATTCAGAAGTAAAAAAGAAGTAATGCAACCTGGCCTGCTCTCTGCACTGCTGATGTCTCTCACCCTCATCACTAGGAGAAGAATTGCCTTCAGGGGAAAAGGGAAAAGTCTCTCCCATCCTCTCTTTCCTAATAGGCACTTCTTGGGTGCCTGGTCACAGCCCCTCCCTTCAATATCCACAGATGAAAAGGCACATCGAGAGTCCTAAGAAACCACACCTTCTGGCTCAGTGCCTGTGCTCCGTGGCCACATACAGCAGGGTTGGCGGTCGAACCCGGCCTGGGCCTGCTAAACAATAATAATAACTACAACAAAAAAATAGCAGAGCATTATGGGGGTGGGGTGGGGGGGTGCCTGTAGTCCCAGATACTTGGGAAGTTGAGGCAAGAGACTCGCTTAAGTCCAAGAATTTGACCACACACTCTACCAAGGGTGACAAAGTGAGAATCTGTATCAAAAAAAAAACAAAAAAAAAACGCCCCTTCCTTGTCATTGAAATTTGGCAAAGCCAACTTGGCACAGAAGTTGCCAGAACCTCCCCACATCTCCCCATTTCTTCCACCTGGATTTGTTTTAAACTAAAATATTCAGGGCTCACTCATTTCTTTCCATCCCAGCCCTGCCCTATCAGGACTTGAACTTGCCATAACCTTGAGGTTACACATAGGTCCTTCTCTCTGTGCAGAAAAAGGGAGAAGTAAAGGCAATAATTGCTCCTCCTATCTCTCCAAAGCCCAGGGTGAAGCCACCATACTCAGGAAAATCAAGCTTATAACCAATAGTAACCTTGGAAATTCTACACCTTTGTCCACTTTGGGGTTGTCTATAGGATCAGAGTCTGAGCACCTTGCTGCTTACCTAACTAAGCACTTCGGCAAACCTCTCTCCAGAGAACCCACTAGAAGCCACTAGGAAAACTATTTGACAAGAGCCACAGTGATTCCTGATGGAAAATGCGAAAGTGCACTTTGTTTTGTTATCTTTATGCTCTTTGTTCAAGGAAGTGCCAAAGAGGGAGGGGTTCCAGTCTTAGGGGGGGAACCAGCTTTTAATAGACACAATCTGCCAGGAACTTAGAGGGGGATCGGAGAGGTCCCCTTCAGAGATTATTTAAAGTATTACTTTAAAATGCACAATTGGGTTTTTTTTCCTTTTCTCTCAGACATTCTGCCATTTTAATTTTTGTAACTGTTTATTTATGCGAAAAGGGTGGTTTTTACTTAGAGTAGCCGTATAAGCCAATCCAACTGCCTTCTGTGGAAGAAGTCACCCCAATCCCTCAGGTCCCTTGCTCAAGAGCCTCCGAGGCGTTTTTTATCAGGGTTCCAAATAGAAATAAGAAAAAGCTTCCCTCATCCGTTTCCAGGCACCTCAGACCAACCCTCAGCTACCATTCCAGTCCACATCTCTACCTGCACACTTTCTGGCTGCCCTGCTCACTTTCTCGGGAAGCCACCTGTGCTGAGATGTATTTGGTCCCTGAGAAGGGGGAGCACCTATGGGGCCCTCTCAGTCACACTGGTGGCATTGTTTACAACGAGAAAGCTGCACTGGTGCTGATGCCCTTGGGACACAGGGCTGTGGGAGGGTGTTAGGACCTGGGGTGGGGTGGGGGGAGGGGCTGATAGCACAGCCCTGGGCATTTTGAACAGCCTCTGAGATTTACTCTTTTTCCAATGGGGTCCATCAATATATCTATATATATAAGAGAAAGGTTTTAATATTGCCTTCTTGATCTCAGGATATACCTAAGAGGCCTTCTCCAAGAGAATTAGTTGCAAACTCTATATACTCAGGTACCTCTTTCAAGGTTTTCTAACCCTGACACTGTACATATCTTCCCTTATCCGTGCTGCGCTGTGTTATTTAATTTTGTCTGGTTAATTCCACTTCCCAATTATTTGTAAAATGTGCTCTATATTTCTAATAAAAATTATATATCAGACACCAAGATGCTGCCTCGTGGTTAGGTTATTACTTTAGTTTAGACAATGTTATCTTCACAGGGAGAAGAAAAAAATTCTTCCATGGAGAGTCAAAGTAAACCTGTTTCTAAGTCTATAGATATTGATTCAGTGATCAGAGAATGAGCTACATTCATCAGCACACCTGCCAACAAAGTGGGTGTATCTGGTAGTCACAGACCACAGCTGCAACCTGCCGGGAAGGAACTGCCTGTCTCCCTCCAGGAGAGAAGATGATGATAGAGGATTAAACATCATACTTACTACAACAGGCACCAATATCATAACTCATCTGAGGATCATGAAAAATCTCAAATCTCCCGGCCTCTTCACTGGGGCCAACACTTCCCCAGTGAAGAGGCAGGTCCAGAGATTCAGGTGGAGCAACACAAGTGTCTCCACAGGTTCAGTCACATAGCAACTGCCCTAGATCCTCGTCTCTTCCTTGCTCCCAGTTCCTCTCAGAGAGTTGGATCCGTTCTACTATGAATAACCTTCATGTATTAACTCCACTAAGGATTAAGCCATCACACAGATCTCATTTCCTTCACTTCTAAGCAGCTGAATCCATGTGGGATTCCCTCATCACCTACTTTCTCCTGCCCTCTGCAGTGATGCCTCCATACCCAGGACCACTGGAAGCAGCATCAAATCAGTACCCATTTCTCGGCCAAAGAAAAGGTTTTTCACCATCCTCACACCTTTTTACTTTTACAACATCAAAGACCACAGACAACTTTTGCATTCTGGGGTGGTCCCCCACCTATGTATTGCACCCCTCACACCACATTCAGTCCTCAGGCCCGTCTTGTCTCCCTCCTTCCTCAGCTTCAGTGACCTCTACAGAAGGGTCCTGCATTTACATCTCTAATCCCAGAGCCTGTGACACCGCATCCAATGCAGTCTGACATCAGTCATTTAAACCAGCCTCCCCACGGCTCACTCACTTCCCTCTGCTCATTTGTCCCCCAAATTTAACACATCCTCAGGGCCTCTTAATCCTTTTCTAACATCTCCCACTTACGTTGTTCTCTCCACTTCCATAAACCTGACTAACCCAGGCCCTCAACAACTGCTCAAAGCACTGCCTGACTTCTTGTCTTGAGGCTCCCTGAATCTTCCTTGTGCGATGGTGCCACACTTCCTCCCTGAAAACTAGTTCACTCACCTACTTAGGAACCTGTTTTAGCCTACTCTGGCCTACTATAAGGTCAATTTTTTTCTCTTTACTAATCCTTCTTACTCTCTTTACCACTACTCCCTACTATAAGTCCCCATCCTAATTTTTCTTTACACAGAGTCTCTCTCTGTTGCCCAACTAGAGTGTAGTGGTACCATCACAGCTCGTAGCAACCTCAAACTCCTGGGCTCAAGAGATCCTCCTGCCTCGGCCTCCTGAGTAGCTGGGACTACAGGCATGAGCCATCATCATGCTCACCCAATCCTAATTAGATCTATCTTTCTACACAGCCCTGCCCCTCCACCCCCCCCCCACACACACATAATTCTTAGTCTCAATGCTATGCCTAGAACATTCCAAACAAGGTGATCTCCCAGCCACCATCTGCACTACTGTGTTACTCACAACTTTATCACTAGCAATCTCTGACCTCATGGAATCGTGGAAGACAAAGACTGTGGCATTAACCATGAACTTGAGACTGAAGTCACAACTGACCTGTGGTTGAGAATATTTTCCTGATGACTAATTCAAGTGTTCATGAGAGAAATGAGGAAGGCAAGGTCCCTACCTCAGGCAACATACAGTCTAAGACAAAAGATAGGATGTGAAAAATAATAATACAAAAGAAGGTAGGGATAAGTGCCACAAGAAGTCAGGGAAATTTAATGGGAAAAACAGCTACATACTTGGGATATTTTTTAAAGAATAAGCAATGGGCGGTGCCTGTGGCTCAAAGGAATAGGGTGCTGGCCCCATATACTGGAGGTGGTGGGTTCAAACCCAGCCCCAGCCAAAAACTGCAAAAATAAACAAAAAGAACAAGCAATGCTCAGACCTCACCCATAAATTCTCATTTAATTGCCTGGAGTGGGACCCAGGTTTTAGTAATTTTTAAGCCTTCTTGGATGCTACTAACATGTAGCCCCTATGGAGAACCCTCACTGTAATAGGTAGGACCTGGGCCTAAATCAAGGGGGTTTTTTTAGCTAGGAGTAAAATATTAGAATCATCAGAATTATCTAGGGAACTTTTTCAACATACATAAGCCTACATACCATCCCTGAGAAGCTGATACTCCTGACTCCAGAAACTTGAGGTTGTATATTTTGAAAAACACCCAAGTGATTCTTGCATGTTAGGAAACAGTGATCTGAAGCACAGATATGATAGAAAGGATGAAGAAGAGTTGGAAGAACATTCTACACGATGTGTATGAATGATCTGTTGGGCAGGGCACAGAGAAGTACTCAGGAAGAAACTGTTGGCAAATGGCTAAACTTTAAAAGACTGACAATACCAGGTGGGACGAGTGTGGGAACAACTGGTGCTGTCATATATTGCTGGTGGAAGCATGGAGTGGCTCAGCCGCGCTGGAAAACAATTTGACGATTTCTTATGAAGTTAAATATATGCTCTACGACCCAGAGAACCCATTCCTAGATGTTTACCAAAGAGAAGTGAAGAGAAAGGCATTATCTCTTTTTATTTTTGTGTCTTCTTTCTTAGACTTTATGTTCCTTGGGGTGAAGACCTTGCCTTCCTCCATTCTGTATCTTTCATGAACACACGATTAGTCATCAAGAAAAGATTCAGAACCATAGATAGGTGGGTCCTGAGTTTCCAGTGCACACAAAGAGTTGTACATGAATGCTCAAAACAGCATTGTTCAAAAAAGCCAAAAATTGGAAATAACCCAAAAGTCTCTCAGCAGGTGAATGGATGAAATAAATTGTGGACTATCCACACAATAGAATACTACTCAGCAACAGAAGAGCACAAACTACTCATGAAACAAAATGGATGAATCTCGAAAACATCCTGGTGCGCAGAAGCAGCCAGATGCAGAAAGCATGTGCTGTATAAGACCCTTTAAATAAAGCTCCGC